AGGGACTCAGTACAGTCAGAAAAGCTGGAGGAATGCCAGGTGTGGTTGTGTACACTGTAATCCCAGCATTTCGGAGGCTGAGGCAGGAGGATCGCTGTGAGTTCAAGATCAGATTGGGCTATGTAGTGAGTTCAAGGCCAGCCTGAACTGCACAGTGAGACCTTGTTAAAAAAAATAATAATAATAACTGGAGGAGTAGGTCTGCAGTGGGAGCTCTTAAGTACACATCCAAGGGTTTTAAAGTTTGCCATCCTGGTTTGTCAGGATATCTAATAAACTCGCTGTCTTCTTCATCCTCGTCATCCTTGTCGTCGTCGTCGTCTTCTTCGTCGTCCTCGTCATCGTCGCTGCTGCTGCTGCTTGCTCATTTTATGAGTAATAACTAAAGATAAATAATATGCAAACTCACAGGTTCTTCATATAGCTGTCTGGGAATGTCACTCACCTACTTAAAACCCTGCATCTTCCCATTACTTTCAAACAAAAACCCAAATTCTTTCATATGTTATTCAAGCCCCTAGTGGTCTCACCATTTGTTGTCATCATCACCTTCACCCCCTCCCTACGCCCACACTCCCAGCCTTTTCTAGTTTCCTAAATACACACTTCTGGCCTCCACCCTTGTGCCAAGGACACTGCCTTCTTCTCCTTCCTCTTGTTCCCCCACCTGACATCACCTGGCCTCGGTCACTGCCACTTCCACTGATCTGTCAAAACTCAGAAACTACACCCCAAGGAGTTTGCTGACCCACCCACAGGGACAGCTGTGTGGCTGGTGTGCCATCGCATGGGCCTCAGCGCCACTGCTCACCTCCACCATTTGGTAACAGGATGCTGTCCCACGCCCTGTGCACCCGTAGCCAGCTTCCCTCACTCAACTAAGAGCTCTCTGTAGGAAGGGCCTGCTTCTTTTTTAAAATTTTTTTTAATTTTTATTTTTCTTAGTACATGTTTGCAGTACATAATGGTTACATTTGACATGGGGAGTTGGTACCTGTATAGAACACATCTCACTTTCTTTAAATCTCCTTATTCCAACCCATCTCAAACTTTTGGTCCCCTTTCCTTTTGCAAAATATCCATCTCCCTATTTCCCATTTTCTTTTATTTTGCTCTTCGTTTACATTTTGGGTTTCTTATGTTAGAGAAACCATCCAGTACGTAAATTTTATGCCTGATGTATTTCACTAACATTATGATCTCAAAGTGTATCCATTTTCTTACAAGTGATTCATTTATCCTTTTTATAGCAGAATAGTACTCTATGGTGTATGAATTCCACACTTTTTTATCCATTCATCTGTTGATAGGCTGCTTGCAAGACTTAGCTATTATGAATTGTGCGGCTATAAATGTGGGCATGCACTTATGACTGTAATATGTCTTTAATTCCTTCAGGAAGATAGCTAGAAAGGGAATAGCTGGGTTGAATGGAATGTCTAGTTTTAGGTTTTTGAGAAATCGCTATACTGATTTCCATAATGGTTCCACTAGTTTAATTCTCCCCAACAAGGCAGAAAATTTCCTTTTTCTCTACAGCCTATCCAGGGTTTGTTATTATTTGATTTCTTGATGATAGCCACTGTTTCTGGAGTAAGATGGAGTCTCCATGTTGTTTTAATCTGCGTTTCTCTATTGGACAGAAATATTGAACATTTTCTCATGTATTTACTAGCCATTTGTACTTTTTCTGAGAAGTGTCTATTTCAGTTGCCCATTTTCAATTAGGCCTTTTATTTTCAGGGTTCTAAAGGGTTTTTTTTTTTTAGTTCTTTGTCTATTCCAGGCATTATTCTTCTGTCAGAGGAATAGCTGGCAAAATCTTTTCCCCATTCTTTGCTTTTTTTTCCTGAATCTCCAGGAATGGGAATATAGTAGGGTTCTGGAAAACCTGATTAATAAATGATAAAGTACATCACTAAAATGTCAATTCATAACCCAGGCTGGTTCCATTTTATCAGTTAGATGGTAAAAACGGGCATCACCAGGATTGCACCACAAGAATTTCCCAGCTACAGAACACATCTCTGTGTGAAGTGAACATTAATAGTTTACCTTTCAGAAGTCCCTAGTTTTAAACAACATCAAAAACGTACCCTAAGAAACTCAAGTTTTGATCAAAGCCAAGCAGAAATTACAAATATGGGTGAGTCACAACCAGTATAGTAGAAGCAACACTTGCAATTAAGCTGTGTAATGGCCCTCTGATTTAGTTCATGTAATAACTACTGACTGCCATTATATCTTAGACTTTAGATCAGGGAGAATTAATAGATAAATGCTGATATTCTATGAGGCTTATTTTTAAATTTTGGAGGAGAAACAATAGAAACGATAAATTGTATATTATGTTAGATGGTAATATGGCTATGGAGCAAAGAAGGAACAAGGGTAAGAAGTAGGAGGGTTACTAATTTGAGTGGCCAGAAAAGACAAGACTGAGGGTAATGTCTGAATCACAATCTGGAGGAGAGGGTGAAGCTATGTGGCTGCAAAGGAAAGAGCCCCCAGTAAGCCAGAAATAGCACATGTGAAGGGTTTGAAGCAGAGTTATTTAACGTCAGAAAGGAGGTGCAGCTAGAGGGGAGGGAAGGCAACAGGAGACGTAGGTAGTGAGACTATGTAAGAAGTGAGCTGAAGCAACTCAAGGGACTTGGAAAGAAACCTCAACTAGGCAGGAGGAGTGCTGGATTTGGAATCTGGCCTTCAGGAATCTGGGGATTTCCATCTGGAAAGGAGTTCACTTGAGAAAATGTTGGTCAATCCCAGAATTTAGAAAAGAGAAGCAGATGTCACATTTGGTTAAAGGAACAGACTCTAGAGTCACAATGCATGAAGATTAATACTGATGTAGGACCTCTAAATGATACAGGGAAAATATTATAACTTCCAACCTGTTATATGTCAGATATGCTGAGTTCATGTTCACCAAAAATCAAAGAGGGAAGTCTAAGGAACAACAGAGGCTAAGGGTAGGAAATATTTATTGAGGGAGATAGCTCCTTAGAGGGAGGAGGGGATCCGAAAATGGGTTGCCAATGAGCCCACTTCGAAAAGAAAGTTTTATAAAGCAAAATCATGAGGTGGGCATAAAATCATGAGCAAGAACAACATGAGATGAAACCATGTTTAACCAATAAGATTACAAGTATAGCCACTTAGGTAAAGTTGATCAATTGGGGGAGCGGGTCAAATAGCAAATGTACATGGAAAGAATAAGGACCTTTTGGAAGAGATAAATCAAGAGATCCTAGGCACGCACCTGGCTGATTGATGTCTGTCTAGACTTTGTTGGACCAGGTGATAACAATTATAATATATTCCTTATCCCTTGGGAGGCATGTAGGCCTGGTCATTCCATCTTTACATTCAATCCTGACCTTCAGTGGGTGCACCTCTAGCTGCAATTGTATGATTTTCTCATCCTCTGCACCGACTCACTTAGGGCCTCACCCTTCTGACTGCCTATAATCCTTCTACCTAACAGTTGCCTATAGTAATATCACCATTGAATACCTGTGTTCCTAGGCAAGTACTTAATCTCTGACTGCTATGGAATAATGTATTTAGCACAGTGCTTAGCATACACACTACATGATGCACATTACCCTAAAATACATATTGTTAAGTTACTGAATCCTGCATCAGAGATGAATAAACATGTCAAACATGACCTGCTGGAGAAGAGAACAGTCACTTATAATAGGATTGGCTTGGAAACTAGGTGAGCATGCGGCTCTGGGAAGGCCATCAGTGGACGAGCTGGAAGGATGGGGTAAAGCAGGTCAAAGGGATGGAGTTGAGCTAATGGTGCTCTATCACTGTGGATCTGACAGCCTTAAGATGGCTGACCTTGAATTTAATGTCTTAGGGTGACCCACTGACTGGATCCCTGTTCTAGGGATTTCCCAGTTTTAGCACCAGAAGTACCAGGATCCAAGCCACTCTCACATGATCAGTGTCATGTCAATGACCTATGCCATTGTTCTTAAACTCCAGGGTGTTTAAGAAGCCCTGGAATGCTTAGTTAAGTATAATATTCCTATACCCTCACCTCCAGATATTGATTTAGAAGTTGCAGGGTAGATCCCAGGCAATCTATATCTTCAATTAGGGCACTAGGGATTCTGGGGAAGATGGCCCACAGAGAAAATGAAGAAACACGCTCTGTGGGAGATGGCACAGCATTCCTCTGCTCATAGTGACTTTCCCAGTAACCAACCAGGAGAGACTTCCCCTATGCATTCTATAACTAACTAATGGATCAAATAGATTAGGGGAGGACAGAAACACTCAAAAAGCAAGACCTATTTGTGGACATACTGAGTTTAAATTAAAATAGCCTAGAATAATACCATCTACAATCAAGGTGACAATTCCAATTTCTTGGGGCACTGAGTACTCAGGGAAAGAGAAGATAGGACTACAAAGCTTCTTTACAGAAAGCGGGACCATAGCAGAAATCCCACCCAGGGCTGTCCTCTGCAATGGACTGCTTGGTGACTTTAATATGAATATTAATAAAACAAAAACAATAATGATGGTGATGATGAAACATAAATGCAAAATACGAAAATTAGCAAGGATGAAACTGACAGCAAGTGGATTAAATTTATTATTATGAAAGGGCACAAAAGAAAATAATTTCAGAATCACCTAAAAACTTTTTCAATGACTGCCAGGCTCCAGCCCCTAAGTTTGGGATTTACCAGATCTAATTTGGAACCAGATTTACATTCTCAACAAGTTCCAGGTGACACTGATGCTACCATCTCAGAAATACACCTAATCACTGGTTAATGTTTTAAGTCTATTAATTTGAAGGCACACATCTCTCCATATAACTACTGTATCAACCCGCTGACCTAGCTTCTATGCTAAACAGAAAAAAAAAAAATTGAAAACAAGCATAAATGATAAGTGAATATATTGGCTTACATTAGCACTAGTGTAGGCAGGCTTCAGGTGTACCTTTGCCTAGGTGCTCCCACCTCACTTACCTGCAGTGCCCTTGACCCTTCCTTCATGTGTGGTGGCTTCCACATCCTGATGAAGGTAAGGTAGCTGTGGCAATCGTACTTTTCAGAGCTCTTCCTGAAGCTCTGTCATGACCAAAGAAATCAAGTCCAACATTCCCAGGAAACTGCTTCTCATATTTCCCTGGCCTCAACAAGATCACATGCACATCCTGTACTGAAGAAAAGGGAGGTTAGTGTTATTTTTAGTACAAACAGTTCCACCCATTTGACTGCATTTATGCAGAGACCCATGATGTAAATGGGAGAAGGATCAATGCTTGATAAAAGCTAAACTCCCCTGAGAAGCATGGGACCATGATGGTGAGCCAGCAGCCACCTCCAGCATGGGGTCCGCACATGGCAACTGACACCTCTCGTGATTCAGTGTCGGAGTGCAGGAAGCAAAAGGAGCTGGTATGGAGTGCACAGACATCTAAGCAACAGTGTATGTCCGTCAGTCACTAGTAGGATCTCAGCCCTGGTTGAAGGTCTCAGACTGAAAGCAGGATTTTAAGAAAATTACTTAAGATGTAAGGGGGCAGTTGGTGGCCGCCAGCCTGAGTAGTTTCTAAGCTATGGGACAAGAGACCAATGAAGCTGTCAGGACTGAGGATCCCCATAGGTCTCAGGGAAAAGGAAGTACCTCAACTACTTAGATTTGGGCACTAGATAATGGGAAATTAGTAAGAGCAGCAAGAGTATTTAAACATCAAATGCACCTAAAGAAGCTCTAGATCCTTGCAGCTAGATTGGGGATTGGGCACACAGACCAGGCAGGAACCGAAATGCAAGGCAAGAGTGAAGTGGGGAAAAGGCCTGCTGTGAGGCCACGGAATACGGTCCTTAAAAACAGGATTCTGGACCCAAGCAACCTGGGTAATAATCCCATCACTACTGATTACTATCTGTGTGATTGCCTGGGCTGGTGTCTCCTTATCTACCGAAACGGAGTGTAAGAGTAGCCACCTCAAATGGCAGGTAAGGGTTAAATGAGGTAGAATAAATAAAGTATTTGGAGCAGTCCTTGTCTGTGCTGCAGAACCCCGAGTGTGTTACCTAGCCTACTTGTTACTACTTGCAGTCTGTTTGTACAGCTTTGTAATTGTAAATATAAACATTTAAAAGCACTCAGCTTCAAGTCACACAATAAATAACTCTAAGAACATCATTCGTGTATTTGTTTAGTGAGTAGATATATTTGATGCCTATATTTGTACTGGGGTGTATCAGGAAATTTAGAAAGATGAATCAGGAAAAGATTTGATCTTCCAACTTAGTGGAGGAGACAAACCCTGTACACAAATAGTTCCAATGGGAGAGAGCAGCAGCAGGGCTGTTCACGGAAGGGGAAGGCCCCGACCACTGACAGACCAAGAGAGTCTTCAGATGGGAAAGAACATCCTGGGACTTGATAGGGGTGAGAAAAGATCTTGACCTAGAAAAGGTGGGGTGAAGGTTGCCGTGATAATACAATCATGTGTTTCTAGTTCATGCCTGAAGCAAAGCCCTCCTTAATCATGTGTGTGTCATTCTTCCATACATCATCACATCAGTTCCACCTGCTTTTTGCATTTTGCGGGTATACAAAAACAGAAACACTTCCTAATAAACAGGCTTGTGTGCTTTTAACTTCTTTACTAGAATAAGCCCAACAAACATTTCTAAAATACTCCTGTGTGTTTTGACATGTACTGTACATATTAGATGTTCAAAATTCACATCTCCCTTGAGAGATTAATCACATTTTAAATTATACATGTCTGTTAAAGCATAGATCAGGTCTACCTTCCCTGTATTTGTTATTGCTGCTCCTGAAACTTCTTTACAGCCCAAAAGAGGTCTTAATCCCTGTCAAATGTTATTATGTTACCAACTTTTATGTAGTCTTGAAAGGGGTTGTTTATTTAGTTTCAATGACTCCTTGTTACTGCCAAATATTATTTCATTTCAGCACAGATGTAAGGGGTCCAATGACTGGAATTATTTTACAGCCCTGACATTGTGGAGAGATGGATACCAGTTTAATTATGGACAGCTGAAAGTGATCTAGGAGTCACCTGCTATGGATATTTATCATCATTATGAATTGCTCTCCAAGCCGCGCTCTGAGCACTTTCATAAGTTGCATTTGCATTAGATGGCAATGTGATCTATGTGGAACCTGTGTCTTCTGTCATCTTTAAATTTATGAGTAGACAGTTTAATATTGCTTGATTATTTTCTTTTCCTCTTGGAGTGAGAAAATATGTTTCAGTCATTCATGTTCTTTTTCCTCCCTCTTTTTTTCTGTTTTTCTCCTTGCCTTCTCTCATTGCTGCCCTTGTCCCCCCAGCTGTTTTTCCAATTATGTCTCTTTGGAAATTATTCATTACTTAAAGAATGTGAATTGGATAGACTGGACACATAAAGGATCAAGCAATCCAATAACTAAAATGTAGTTGGCACTTAATAAATGCATAAGGAATAAAGGAGGGAAGAGAGCAGAAAGAACCAGGAAGGAAGCCACGGACTTGCAGAGCCTGCTTCTTAGAATTCTTCTATCCCCTCTGTTAGAGAAATTAATAGCACCTTTTGCATTATACACTGTATTATAACAACATATATTTTATATCCTCTCCTCTGTTATCTCCACCTATCTCTAAATAGATCTTGATTTGTCCCTGTCAAGTTAGACAAAGATTGAGTGGATGGAACAGCCAAGTTGCCCCCATCTGATAATAAATTAAAGTCAGTGTCTCCTTTCCTCTCCTGAACTGAGCTGGAATGTCTTTAAGAGTTTTACTCCTGTCCTGGATGCCTGGATAATAGTAAGAACTAACTTAGGGAGGGTTTGTCAAGCATGTCTCAGTCACTATGCTTAGTCTTTTTATGGACTAACTCATTTAGGTTTCAGTATACTCATGATATTAATACGATTTACACTATTTTTCTACAGATTTTTTGTTCTTGGTAGGGGACAATTTTGCCACCCATGGAACATTTGGCAATGTCTGGAGATGCTTTTGGTTGTCTCAGCAGGGTAAAAAACCAGGGACACACTAAACATTTTGCAACCCACAGGAAAACTTCCTATAACCAAGAATTACCTGTCTCAGAAAGGCCTTGTAGATTAGTTTCAAAAACAGTGATGAAGCTTAACGGGGTTAAATAATTTGTCAAAGATCATCCAGTGATACTTGAGAAGCATGGGATGCATTCTTCAAACCTATACTTTTGCATGGCCCTGCACAGAAGTAGTTAATGGCTTCAAGGGCTGATTCATCAAAGGAGTGACAAAAGAGCTAAAATTCCCAAAGGTATTTATTTCTTTGTTTGAGAGCATCTCAATTCAAGTGCTCATTTCAGTTATTTGCATATCATTCCTCTTCCATTCTTCTCATCACACAGGTAAATCACAGAGTGGAGACCATCAAAAGCAGCCTTTCACTCTGAACACCAAAACTTTTCTACACACTGAGGAAAAAGTTCCTCTGACATAAAAATTATTAGAAGATATAATGATATAAGATAAAACCAGAATGCACAAGCTATCATGCTGCCTAAGCAATAAACTTTAAAGATAGGATATCTGGTTATAGAGTCTATGAAAACAAATAAATTATACATATTCAATTTGATGAATCTTTAACGATAAACAATAACATCTTGCATTTAAAACATAGAAATGGTATGTGATTATACGTATTTGTTTTAAAGTGTCAAATGAAAATGTTGTATTCTTCTCTTTTTATTAATCCTTCAATAGGCACAAATATCAGTTTCTGATGTAGCAAGACCTTGTCTCCAAATATAACTTTTTTAAAAGGAGCTGGGGGTATAGTTCAGTGAGGTGAAGGCGCTTAGTTCAATCCCCCGGTGCCTTCATTGGTTTCCACAGTGCTTTAAGATGTTGATCGGGTATCTTCTGAAAATCTTCATTATCCCCCAAATCAACTTTGGACCCAAGTACACTTACTTCACACGCACATGGACATGTACAGACTTGCACATGCATGTAGACACCTGTACCCACATATGATCACACACCACACACCTGTACATGTCGTACCCATACATGCACAGACAGGCCCCATCTCCTATTCCTGAGAGCAGAGCTTCATTTCCCTCTATTCCTTTCCCACAGTATAGAGCTACTGTTTCACCCTTGTCTGCCTCAGCCACTCGTGGATCCTCTCTGGTGCTTTTGCACTTCCAAGTTCCACCCAGCGCCTTTCTCATACATGACCCGGTCCTGGCTCACGACAGCATCTCCAAGCAGTGAAACCAAGGAGCTTCAGACATCATAGAAGCCAGAAATGTGTTTACCTTCACAGCCAGCCTCAGGCACCATAAGGTTTTAGGTTAGAGAGAATAGCTACCTCCTATCCTAAATTCTAAACTGCTATGTCTCTTTCTTATTGCTTGAAATGATTTCATCCATCACAAGGCTGTCTCATTTTATAATAAGGTATAAAGTTTCAAAATACACTAAAATCACTGCTACCAATAAACACTCAGAGTAAGTTCCCAGTTTAAATCTTGTCTGCTTTGCTTGCAAGAGGAATTTAGAAAACAAAGGTATCAGGGAGGTAAGAGGAGGGGTATAACAGAGGAGAAATGGGCAGTAGAGAGAATCGGAAGAAAACCTTCATCTTGTTATTGCCCCATACCAACGTGTTTATTTTCATGAGGGGTGGGGAACTCTCCTCAGAGACCAGAAGCAAATCTCTTAGCCTGGGAGCCCTAGATTTTCATTACTTCTCACCTGTAGTACTGTGTGAATCTGAGCATACCATTGTTATTTAATAAATGTGTACAACTGTCTCGTATATCAATAAAATATACTGAGGATGGTACTGAATAGTGGACTTTCCTTTCAGTTTGGGGGTAAAAGAATGGGGCAAAGAGATGGGATGGTTACATAATCATAATTTTAAATGAGATACTCTAATCACTATCATCTAGGCCCACCCTAACCAAAACAGTAGCCACTAACCCTTGTGACTATTTAATCAACTAAAAAATAAAATGAAAAACTTAAGCTTCTCAATCTCCTAAGTAGCACTGTTCAGCTATTCATCGGGCACCTGTGGCCAGTGACT